ATACTGAGTACTTTGCATTTGTCCAAGTTGAATTTCATCAGCCATTTTTCAGACCATTCGAAAAATTTGTTTAGATCTTTCCTGTAGTTTTGCAGAGACCTCGTCAGATTTAATTACACGTCCTATTTTAGTGTCATCAGCAAATTTATTTATGTTGCTGTCTATGCCGATATCTATGTCGTTTATGTATATAATAAATAATAATGGTCCAAGTACTGAGCCTTGGGGAACTCCACTAGTGACGTTGCTCCAATGCGATTTAGTGCCGTTTATGCTCACTCACTGTTTCCTGTCCCGTAACCACGCCCTAATCCATTTAAGGATATTACCTTTGATGCCTTGCCCTTCTACCTTTCTAATTAGTCTTTCGTGGGGGACTCTGTCGAAGGTTTTGCTAAAGTCGAGATATACCACATCATAATTGTGCCCCTCGTCCACCGATTCGAAAACTGATGAAAAGAATGTTAATAGATTAGTTAGACATGAACGCCCGCTTGTGAAGCCATGCTGGGAATCCTTGATCAATTTGTGCTTCTCCAGGTGGTTTCGAATAGAGTTTGAAATGATTGCTTCCAGTAATTTGCCTACAATTGATGTTAGACTGATTGGATGGTAGTTAGAGGATAGTGATCTATCCCCCTTCTTGAAAATCGGCATTACATTCGCTATCCTCCAGGATTCTGGTACTACACCTGTTTTTAAGGACATGTTAAACAACTTTGCTAAGGGCATACTAAGCTCTTCCTTACATTCCTTTAATACTCTGGCAAATATCTCATCGGGACCAGGTGACTTATTAGGCTTTAGTTTGTCTATTTGCTTACTAACATCGTTACTAGTCACTACTATCTCACTTAATTTGTTTTCTTCACTATCTCTGAATAGAGTCGGTGCCTCGGGTATCATGTTTAGATTTTCGGTGGTGAAAACTGTTGAAAAATATTTATTCAAATTATTGCTCATTTCTCCGTCGTTATCAGTGAGCTCGCCGGAGTCTGACCGTATTGGTCCAATCTTTTCTCGTGTTTTAGTTTGATACATTTGGTAGAATCCTTTGGGGTTTGTCTTCGCCTCCCTTGCTATCCTTACCTCATTATTCCTCTTTGCTTTCCTTATCTCGGTTTTAACTCTGCTCGCCAATACCCTATAATAGTCCCGGAGGTGAATTTCGCCACGATTTATCCTTCTACCTATAGCCTTCCTTTGGCCAATGATGTTCTTTAAATAATTATTTATCCATTTAGGGTCATTGTTGTCTGATCTGAGTTTTTTGTATGGTATGTTCTGCCTTTGTGCATTAAGTAACTCACTATTTAAATTATCGTGGAACTCGGCAATCTCAGATCTCGTTATCAGGTCGGTGTCATCTGTCAGGTTCACGGCCAAGCGCGACACCCCCTCTCTCAGCTGCCTCTTTAAACTGTCAAAGTTTGCCCTTCTGAAATCTGGTACTTTAGTGGAATTTTCCTTACGTCTGCCCTGAAAATCTAACTGGAATCGAATTTCTTTGTGATCGCTGTTTGCAAGTTCGTTCCCTACCTCGACAGTACGTCCCATCGACTGGGACGTACTGTACGTGAGATCTGTACATTTAAAGAAGCATTTCCCTATATTTGTATTCAAAGGTACTCTTTATAATTCCCAAATTTCGGCTTCTTTTCTCACTGCTGCCCCCACTTGTTGCGCCACCCCCAGTGAATGACCCATCACAACGTCCAGATGTTTTTCCTTCTCGATAGTATCCAGGAAAGTGTTATTAACAGAATAGACGTGATTAAGATTGTTATCTCACGTGTAGGGTCTTGTTTTTCGTAATGTTAAAGAGAGTTTGTCAGTCTCGAGACAATTTGAACAGCTCTTCAGGACTTTCCGCATTATAAATCTGATTCTCGTGCTGTTCACTTTGTAATAGCCCCTGTCTCATGGCAATAACAATTATATAAATTTGGGTTAATACATTTAGTTTATATAATCCAATCACCCTAATGTAATTTTCCATAAGCTGTGAGGTGCCATGTGCTGTTCACGTGAGGGGAAATTCCTCGATCAGTAAGCCGACCTTGAGAATGTAGGGTTAGCCCAGGCTCTCCTTCAGAGCGTCCCCTCACAGCACCAGTATTCACTTGAGTCTTACGAGAATCGGACGGGTGATCAAAACTCAGTCAAACTGAGCCCCCGTCCTTAACTAACACTCACAGCTTACAGTGTTAATTACGGTTAATATACAAATAGACTGTGACCAATATTGTTTTACAAATAAATGGAGAAAAGACCATTTTGGGTTTGTAACTTAACCCCTTAAATTATTTATATATAAGCCAAGTTAAGGGAACTCTACCCAAAGCTTATATAACTTGGCCTCCCTGCATATATATATATATATATATATATATATATATATATATATATATATATATATATATATATATATATATATATATATATATATATATATATATATATATATATATATATATATATATATAATACATGCTAAACAGACAAAGTATTGTAATTCGTTTTGAAAAAAAAATCTAGTTTAATTAAACTTTAATATCAGCAGATGCATTACTTATTTCCCTCAAAATCCTGGTGATAATTTGATAAAACTAATTGAAATATTACCGATAAGACTCTAAATTGTTTCAAAATTGTACACAAGCCACTGGCTCGACATGGCCACCTCTAGTGAGTGGTCATTAGGTCATTAGTTTAATCAGGCGTGTAAATAAGTTATCCAACAATTGTGGCAACATGATCATGGATAAAAATATAAATCTGACACGTCATTCAAATGCAACACTTCTAATGACACGTTAAAAATAAATATACCTTAGGTACATTTCTTATAAATGTGTATTTATAAATATTGCTTTTAAAAAAGTGGTGTTTTATCTCAATTAACTGCTGAAGAGACGGCGTCGGTGTAGCCACAAAAGCAATAAAAAATACACTAAACAAAAATGGCACTAAGATTATACTGTCTTTGTAATACCCTGTATATCAAAAGAAACCCTGTAGTGTAAACATAGTGAATCACTAACCTGTTGGAAAATCTAACTGATAAATTCAAATCATCCAACACATTTAAAAAAGAACAGTTGCGAAAATTTTTTTTTACACTAATGATGTTCTGTGCTGAGGTGCTCATAACAAGTGAAGTAGGCTCGTCGGCAGCCTTACAAGTTCTCCATTAGTGCCCTGCGGTCTTGGCTGCCCTGGCGGCCATATCTTTTTAATTCTGATAATATTTTATACAGACGTCAAGATTAATACTGTATTTTACACGTATGCTAAATCTGAATGTACATCAGTTAATACATTAACGAGCTTTATGGACAGACATATCGTTTTCATCACCATTGAACCGATAAACAACTTTACAACGACAAAACACCACTTAACTGTGCAAATATATTTATTACATATCAAAATACAATAAGAAAAAACTTATGTGCAAAAGCCCCTCTAGCACACTCACATAAAAACCACCATGTCAAAGATGACTTCCAAATGTTGAACCGAAAATCAGGTTCCGAGGCAGATGACAGTACAGTATTGAGAGCGGAGCGGCTGGCAGGGTGTGGCTGGGTGTGAGTCACCCGCCTCATCCAAGAGGAAAAAAAAATATATATGACGGGTGATACCGGTAGTATTTCCCAAAGTGCAGCACCCGGATTGTGTTGTCAAACTTGATTGTGTTGTCACGCTGGGTTGTTTATTCAAGCCTGGTTGTGTTGTCACGCTGGGTTGTGTTGTCACGCCGGGTTGTGTTGTCACGCTCAATTGTGTTGTCACGCTGGGTTGTGTTGTCTCGCCGGGTTGTGTTGTCACGCTGGGTTATGTTGTCACGTCGGGTAGAGGTGAAATGTTGGACAGTAACGGTTTATAGTGTGGAGCAACAGGTTATGGTGGAGAGTAATGCCGTGTTATGGAGGATTGTGACGTGTTTTGGATAGTAATAAGTTATGGTGGACAGTAATGTATTACGATGAACAAATTTTCTCATCTTGTTAAATAATAACGTCTTACACTGTAGTGTTATTGCTAATAAGGTGTTACAATGAATTGTAATCACACTGCTATTAGTGTCGTTACTCGACGCGACAGGCAATAATACCTGACGTTCTTTAGTAACGTGATATGCTATATAACAGTGTTATGTTGGATAATTACGTGTTATGCTGAAGACTATTACCTTTGGTTGGATAGCTATCTTATACAGTGGATAATAACATCTTTCATGGATAGTAATGTGTTAAAATGGATTTTACCGTTTTGTACTTAATAGTTAAGCGTTGTGAGGGACAACAACTTATCCCGATGGACGGTGACAGGGGGTATTGTGACAGTTTCTTCGGGCAGGTGGGAAGAGAGGTGAGGAGCCAGTGAGAGACGTGCCATTTCCACTAACAAGACATTCGTCATAACAAATAATTGGTGATTCTGACTGTGTTGGTCGTCCAGTTCACTTATCTCTAGGGCCACAGCTCCGCCACACACTCACCACCACTGCAACGAAATCAAAAGAAAGCTAAATGCCCCTAGCCTGGCCTCGAGTCTAGCTGGTGCTGGGAGTAGGTCAGGCTGGGGGGGAGGGAGCTCCTGTTGGACGCTTCAAGGGTAACAATACCATTGAAGCTAAACTCCCTCCTGGCAGTTAGCTGACACCTTGGTACGAACTGACAATGTAATGTGGTGGCGGGTGGGCATGATAATTACGGTGTGTGTGAGACGTGGGAGGACATAGCGTGCTATATGTAGGGATGTCGGGCGGCCACAAGTCAGGGCTGCGACACTAATGACGTCATTGTACAAACTCGAGAAACACTAAGGTTGTGTTCCAGCTTATCTAGAAAACTCCTCAACCATCTCGCAGACAAACTAACAGCAGTAACGGATAACAGTTAAGTCAACAGACTATGAACAATCAATTAAATAGAGAGCATTATTGTTGGGGGAGAGACTGGGGGAGGGGGAGGGGGAGAGGCAGTGGGCGGGAGGTGGTGTGTCGTGGGTCTGCGTCCAGCCGCTCCTTCCCTCCCTAACCTCAGTTGCTAGCCCGCCACAGTCGTTGACGGAGTACCTTGTACTGTACTCATCCAGCTCAACCAGTGAACCAGTGCTACTACTTGCATCATCGGTACCCCTTTCTAGGATTTAAAAATCTTTATAAGTGCAGAAGGATATTTCGACCCGGTTCACTGATACGAAATATTTTAGAGTCTACAGAACTGATTGAAATCCCCAGTGGGTAGTTACTGAGTGAGCCGGGTTTGTGACCAACTACCTACGTTGTGCAGACAAATGATGGCGACGGAAGTACAGATGCAGGAAGAGGTGGTCCGCCGGGTGAGTACACATGGGGAGTAGAAAACGGGTGGTGGGTAGTCATACGTCAGGAGACTCGGAAAACCCAGGAATTTCACCAGCCGGTGAAAGCATCGGCGACTTGCTTTTCTCGAGTAGTACAGGGAAATATTGTTCTTGAGAAAAAATGACTTCATTGTACGTTCATTGGTAATGAAAATATATTTAGATTAAGTACTTGTCCCAAGAAAATTTAGGTCATGCATTTTTCGTCCCACAATTGGCAAACCAGATATTTTGGTCTTTAACTTATTTGTAAATATATGTGGTATTCAAGTTAATAAGGTTTTTCTCGGGTGGTAAAAAGAAAATAATAATACAGAAGTTTGACCTTTGCTGTCAAGAAACCTTTCACTAATAATTAACTAGTCCTGGAGTGGAGGAGTGATTGTCAGCTTTGCTCCAGTACTGGAGAGAAAGTTCTCGGGTGAGTGAGAATCATCAGAGAATATGACGGTATATTAGATCGCCTTCTGCCACGGTGGTCCTTATAAAAACTGGTATACTGCCACGGTTGGAATTTTGTTTTTGTATCTACAATAGATGATGATATACAACGGGTAGGTTTTCTGCTAGGCGTTGAGTCACATCTTTCCCTGTGTAACGGTTAGGTGGCGACAGGTGCGAAGGTCAACTTGCGGGAAAACAGGTCACCAGTCATTCGTGAAAGGTCAAACATTTATTGTTAGTAAAGGCAAAGGGGAAAAGTCAAGGTAATGTGATATCAGATATGCTAAACGGCTGAAGTCTTACTGTTCTAGAATAACGAACTCAGAAAGGACAAGAGAAAGTTTGACCTATTGAAACGAACTCAGAAAGGACAAGAGAAAGTTTGACCTATTGAGAGCTTAGATTAATACTCTGGTACAAGCCAAGGGAAATTGGTAACCGGTGGATGTAAATATATAAATATTTTTTATTCATTACCTTTAAGTACATTTATACAATTGCAGTGTGTAGGTGCAGGTGTATGATTTACCCATTGAGGAGTCAAGTCGGCAGGTATTGGTGTTAACGTCGTTAACACCAATACCTTAACGATGTGATATTAGACTCCAAGGCTTAAAATATTTTGTACAAGACAAAATCCAGTAGGTAAGAAGAGTACTGGGAAGATAAGAGTAGATATCAAGTGAAAATGGATGAGAAATAGAGAAAACTGGTGGTGTGGAAGGCTTCCGGTTATCTTGAAAAGTACTGTACACGCAGTGAGTTACTGGTCAAAGAGTGCGGCTGTTATACAGTTAGACCACTTGAATTTCTTGGTTAATACACCATTGTACTACATGTTATCATAATACAATACTCGGTGCAACTATAGCGTGCGGTCTACAAAGATTTTAGTCTAACCTAACCTGGCCTGACCTAAACTTCGCGAGGTAAAGCAGGAGCACTAACCTTCCCAAGAAAAAAGTTAGTACTTATTCTACTGTCTACTTTAAACTGGGTGAAACGAAAGAAAAATATATATATATCTTATTTCGTTTCACTCCAGTAGAAGTTGGTGGTATAAGTATTAATTATATCTTGATACATACATTTGTTGATTCAACACAAAGCTGGGAAGAGTATAGTATTGTAAATGCTGTGTACTATATACTGTAGACAGCAATACTGAGCCATTGTCAACAATAAATTCTTTACGAAGTTAATAAGCTATAAAGAGACATTCAAGAGAAGTGACGACGAAACAAGTAATTCGCAACAATATAATTGGCATTTATTGAAAAAGTCAAGGATGTGGAAAAGGTTGACTATTGTTGTCGCAGAAAAAAAAATCCAGACAAATTTGAAATAAACTTAGTAATTTTTATTTACATGTGTCTAGGAAAACAAGGTGGGTGTTTATTTTTGTTATTATTATTATTTTTATTATTATTATTATTATTGTAGAGAAGTTGTTTTGGGGGGCTAGCGGTGGAGCTAACGTTTTGCTTTGGCGAACATGACGTTACAATGCGAAGTAGAAGGGAAAAGGAGCATTAAAAATTCCATTTATTGAATTGTCCAAAATGTTGACATGCAGGAAGGAGGGTGGTGGGGGTTAACCCGGAGACGAAATCTTTTGTAAGAGTATGATATTGAAGAGAAAGGTATCGGGGTGGCTTGCAGCCTTCACTTAACTGTTGATATGGAACGCTCACTTGAAACCGGTTTGGAAATTCAACCCAAACCATTTGGGTAAAGCTGATGTTAAATTGCACGCGTCTGTTAACGTATGTCATGAAATATATATGTTTTTACTCCATAATTTTGAATGTACTTTGTGAAACCTCAAGTAAGCAATTGCCTCTACGTCTTTCGTGCTTAGACGATTATACAAAAATTGTCTGTGAATTATGATTAGGTGAATGAAGCACGGAGTGCCACGTAAGGAAACACGCAAGGCAAAATGTCCGGGGCAGATCCGCCCTATTTTAGTCTGACACCCAACCAAATATCAAAGCCTGGGGAAAGTTGTATGATAGACGAGAAGAAAATTATGGGTGCGTTTTTGACAGAAGGGAAGTCTTGTAGAAGGTAAGCGTTAGTGCAGTCCGATTTCAGTGAGATAGCTTGTGGTCGTAGCTGTCTGTGAGAAGGTATGTTGACTTTCGTGTTATTAAACGATCGTGGCCATGGCTCAATGAAGGTCCACAACCGTGGCTTCGTGTAGTTTAAGGTTAGTAAGCTCGGGTCCACGTGCGGCCGTGCCAGTAAAAGTTGGTGGCCATGGTTCGTGTCATTGAAGGTTCATGTCTACCGCGGTAGGGATTGCGTGATCTGCTCCCACCCATACGCCTCCTTATTATTGATTTGACATTGGTAGCTTTGTTGAGCTTAGGTTTATGGCCTTCTGGCGGGCTGAGGCACAATGGCCGGTCAAAGTGCTGATGCTGGTAATGGTGCTGATGCTGTTAATGGTGGTAGTGGTGACGATGCTGGTAATGGTAACGATGCTGGTAATGGTGGTATTGATTCTGATGCTGGTAAGGGTGGTGGTGATGGGGCTGATGCTATTAATGGCGGTAGTGATGCTAATGCTGTTAATGGTGGTAGTGGTGCAGATGTTGGTAATGGTGGTAGTGGTGCTGAAATTGGCAAGGGTGGTCGTGGTAATAGAGGTGCTGATGCTAGTAATGGTGGTGGTAGTGGTGCAATGCTGGTATTGGTGCTGATGCTAGTAATGGTGGTGGTAGTGGTGCTCATGCTGGTATTGGTGCTGATGCTAGTAATGGTGGTGGTAGTGGTGCTCATGCTGGAAATGCTGGTGGTGGTAGTGATGCTGGTAATGCTGATGGTGGTAGTGGTGCTAATGGTGGTGGTGGTAGTAATGCTGGTAATGCTGATGGTGGTAGTTGGTGATAACGGTGGTTGTGGTAGTGTTGGCGGTGATCACTCCAGCGCCACGGACAGTTTTGAACCGTAATGGCAAACGTTTTATCACAGTGAGCCAAGAACCGCCAACCACACCTTCAACGACTCTCCACTTTTCGCCTCAAAGTTTCCCAGATAGCCGTGAGGTGTGTTAGAACTATAGAAACCACGACAAAGGATCACTCCACCACCGCGTCGTGTGTGTGTGTCTGTCTGTTTTTTTTTTCTCTTACCGAGGCTCACTGACAAAAGAGGTCATGCTCAAGAAACACTACACACGAGGAAATGGGGTGGAAGAATCAGGACCCCTTGTGAAATATTTGGTTGTGATATGTGGATAATGTGGTGTGTTGGTGTTGTGTTGTGGAGTTGGTGTTGTGTTGTGGAGTTTGTGTGTTGTGTTGTGGAGTTGGTGTGTTGTGTTGTGGAGTAGTTGTGTTGTGTTGTGTTGGTGTTGTGTTGTGGTGATGTGGTGTTGTGTTGTGGCTGTTGTGTTGTGTTGTGGAGTGGTGTTGTGGTGTGTGTGTGTTGTGTTGTGGAGTCTGTTGTGTGGGTTGTGTGTGGAGTTTGGTTGTGTTGTGGAGTGTTGTGTTGGTGTTTGTCAAGTTGGTGTTGGTGTTGTGCAGTTGGTGTTGTGGAGCTGGTGTTGTGTGGTGTTGTGTGTGGAGTTGGTGCTGTGTGTTGTTGTGGTGGTGTGTGTGTTGTGTGTGGGTTGTGGTGTTGTGGGTGTTGTGTGGTTGGTGGTGTGGTGTGTGTTCTGGGTTGTTTGTGGGAGGGTTGTTGTGGTGTTGTGTTGTGTTGTGGGGTTGTGTGGTGTGTGTGGGGTTGGTGTTGTGTTTGTGTGTTGTGGAGTGTGTGTTTGTGGAGTGTGGTTTGTGGAGTGGTGTGTGTGTGGGTTGGTGTTGTGTTGTGTGTGGTTGCTGTGGTTGGTGTTGTGGAGTTGTTGTGGGGTTGGTGTGTGTGGGTTGTGTTGTGGAGTTTGTGTTGTGTTGTGGAGTTGGTGTTGTGTGGGGTTGGTGTTGTGTTGTGTGTTTGTTGTGTTGTGGAGTTGTGTTGTGGAGTTGGTGTTTGTTGTTGTGGAGTTGTTGTTGTGGAGTTGGTGTTGTGTTGTGGAGTTGGTGTTGTGTTGTGTTGTGGGGTTGGTGTTGTGGAGTTTGTGTTGTTGTGGAGTTTGTGTTGTGTTGTGGAGTTGGTGTTGTGTTGTGGGGTTGGTGTTGTGTTGTGGAGTTTGTGTTGTGGAGTTTGTTGTGTTGTGGAGTTGGTGTTGTGTTGTGGGGTTGTGTTGTGGAGTTTGTGTTGTGGGGTTATTTTTGTATTGTGTGAATGGTGGTGTGGGTCCGGTGATGTAGTGGTGTTACAGTAGTTATGAGTTGAGTGTTTGGATGGTAATGGTGGTAGTAGTGTTGTGGTGGTGTAGTGATAAGGTTACAGTGTGTGGTGGTTTATTTATGACTCATTCAGTTGACAAGGTGATGGTGTGACGCATGTACAGTAGGTTGTGACGCCGTGGAAACTTGCACCGCCCATGCCCCCGTCCTCATCCCCCCTCCGCCCATAGAGGGAACAATGTGGTCAGGTGGGGAGGGCGGGGTCCGGAACTACAGTAACTAATTATTGGGTTGTAG